ACTCCTGTCACCCACATAATCTGGCAACATTGGCTTTCACCCTCAGCTCTCTGAAGCAAAAGACAAAGGGGATGTTTTTCAGTTAGGTTTTTATAAGTAGACTTCTGGAAAAAAGAAGAAAGAAAAAAAAGCAGCACAAGTGTTGCTTTCCCAAAACCTTTCTGATAAGGCTCCCAAGAATGTTTGAAGTCTCCCTGTGTGGGCTAATAGAAAGAGAGACGCTCACGCCAGATGTCACCTATCGCCATGGAGATGTGTGTGTTCGTGCCGAGAGACGGTGGCAGGCTGATTTGAGATAAGCAGCGAATGATTCGCTTTGAGTTTGTTTATTAAAATGGTGTCTTTTCACTTGCATGTGAGGAGGCGTCTGATTCTTGTTTAAAGGAAATGACTGCGTATAAAAAAACAAGAAAAACAGAGAAAGGGAAGCTTCAATTTCCCCCAAAACTCACACACAAACCCACACTTCTCGCGTCTAAAGACTGAATGGACCACCAGCATGAGGTGTTTTTCCTCCCTGGTTTTCATATCAACACAAATCTGTGTGTTAAGGCAACTTATGCTGGAGAGAAGCAGGACGCTGAATAAAATAAAAATTGACAAATAGTCAGAATCGCTGCCCCCTTATTAGTTAATGCCGCCTTGCCTGTCCAGCTCTTCCATTACTGCAGCTTTAGCGCCGCAAACAGAACAGCCTTAATCATACAGGGCAGATGAAATGACCTGCAGATTTGACTAAAATGCAGCTTTAATGCAGTATTACCATCCACTTAAAGTGGGGCTGTGATGGTGCACCTGAAAGACATTTATTTTCAGGATTGGTAGAAATGCGTAAAAAGCCTCAAACTAAAAGAGACATGTACAATATTCTCTTTAGCCTTCTCTGTGTTTTTTCTATTACAGAAATAAAAAACCTGTTTTCGTTTTTGTTGTTTTTGCAGGTTTAATCAAAGATCCTTAACCCAACTGAAGAGTGGGCGTGAGGTGTTATGGTTCTCCCCTTTTGGACTTCTTTCTTCTTTTTTTTTATTTTCTTTTTGAGTTTTCAGTTATTTATACCATTCTGTTTTTTTGGTCATTGGTTTATTTTCCATTCTTAGTTATATTGAAGCAATGTTGCATTTTTGAGTTACTTTCTGTTGCCCCCTTGTGCCAGCCTCCTTTCCTCTAGCTCCGTTCTAGTTACTTCTATCAACACCTGCTCCCTATTAGCTCATTAGCCCATTCTTTGTTCTGTTTCCCATAAATACGCCTCCTTTGCAGTTACTCATTGATGGTTTCTTATCATTACTTGTGTATCCTGTGTGTTTTTCCCTGACATATCCTGGTTTTTAGTGTTTTGGTTCTTGGATTTTGTTTCTGGTGCCTTTTTGATTTCATTAAACCTGCAAGAACTCCTGCCTGCCTCCCTTATCTTTGCATTTGGGTCCCCAACCATCCATCACGCCACCCTCATCATGTGGTGTTTTATCCCAAACATTATTTTCTATTTATGTCAGACCCAAACACTGACTGCTAAAACACTAAATCTTACTGTATTTACATTTGTAATGGTCAGACAGATTTCCTTGATTGTCTCCCAGACAAGATTTTTAAAGAAATTTTGAGTCGTCTATGGGCCAATTTAAACAAGTAGGGTTGTGTTTCAGGGTTTTTGGTTGTTTTTATAACTTTTGTAGATATAAAAAAACAAAGAAGTTTAAAAAAGAAATATTAAACCTCAAAAACATAGTGCTTTGGAACACTAATTAGACATTTCTCAACCCTTTGAACACTTCAACATGAGGGACGTTGTACTAGAATTCCCTTCTATTTAAATATGGTTAAATTAGGTATTTAACCTAATTAGTACATTTGAAAGGCTTTATAACACATTTCTACCAAGAGAATCAAAAAATAGGGAAGGTGCAGCTAATGGTGCCAATGTTAAGATACATGCATATGAAAAGAAAAGAGCTTTTATCGCTCAATTAAAGAAGCTTTAAATCTGAACTCTTCTGCATCTAATAATGGTTGTAGCAATAAACTCATGGTCCACCAATGGTTGCACCAACTTATAAGATGGGTAAAAAATAAGCAGAACAATCTAGCCTCTATTTTAACAGGTAAGACTGTTGCACCGTTTGGACAAAAAGCATACAGCATCAAAGCTTGACAGGTCTGTTAAAAGGGAAAGGTAAGTTAAGTAAACAAATGCCAAATTTGCATTAACAAGTTATAAATCCCCAGAGAAGACTCAAACAGCTCATGGTGGTTGGTCCACAGCCAATCAAAGTGTAAAAAAATATTTTCTATTAACTAATAGGGAATTCTAAACCTTAGAGGTACATTTCTGTTAATCCAGATGATTTCTCACTCAGAGTCAGGCACAACTTAATGTAAACATAAGAGACTTAAAAAAATAAAAATAAAAAAAAAGAACCTGAAGGATCAATCTTTAAAATGCTGATTAAAAGTATTGGATATACATCTCAAAGAAAAGAAGCAGGAGCAGGAAGAAAGGCTGTGGACTTTTTAAATTAGGTGCAGTTTTCCTTGTTACACAGCACAGAAGATAAGGGGCTCGTGAAACTGGTTCAAACTGTGTGGAAAAGAGGAGAAAAAAAAAGTCCCAGAGTGTGATCAAAGACTGACAGCTCTCAGAGAAAAAGCTGAAGCTTCCAAAGGAACACAACACCCTCTCTCTCTCTCCTTTACACACCTACGCTCGACGTCTCTGCCGGCACACGGTGACAATAATGGATCCTGGCGGAGGCGCTTCAGGAGGCTGCGAATGTTAACTGCTTTTTGAGTTATGTCATGAATGTCTGATTTATCAGACCAATGCTGCGTCCCTGTGCCGCTGACATGTATGAGCCGAGGAAAGAGTGGAGTGGTGATGGAAAATGAAGCAAAGCCATGGCTTTAACATAAAGCTGCAGTGACCAGTGATACAAAGGTCCTTTGCTATAAAAATATCTAATTTGTATGTAGTGCAAAATAAAACAGGGTTAAATAAAGTTGTGGGGTCATATTTAAGAGTTCACAGTCTGTTAAAACCTGGAGGTGATTTATTTTCCAGGTGACAAAAGAAGTTATATTATTAGTCCGTATATCTACGTTATCGATTTGGTCTGTTTACCCTGATTACTCATAAATCCAGCTAATTTCTGCTATAATTCACAGTAGACGATGTTTTAATATCTTAAAAATCTGATTAAAACAACTCTTCTCATTTCAATTTTGGAAAATGTGCATATTTTACTGACAATAAAGGGTTGAGATCTTATGTTAAACCTACAAAGTACGAACCTAGCTGTAAGAATCTACTTTGGTTAAGGATATTCTATTATTACCAATATCTTGATTTGACTGGGGGTATTTACTCGAGTTTGGTGGAAAAAACATCAAAACAGAAATAGCATCTGTTTTTAAATACACTGCTCAAAACAAGAAAGGGAACACTCAAACAATATATCCTAAATCAGAATGAATATATTCTCATTGAAAACTTTGTTCTGTACAAAGTTGAATGTGCTGAGAACAAAATCACCCAGAAATAATCAATGGAAATCAAATGCATTTACCAAATGGAAGCTGGAATTGGAGTCACACAAAATTAAAGTAACGAAAGACTCTACAATCTGAGCAAGCTTTGATATAATAACCTTAAAACAGCTCAACATGAGGCTTAGTATTGTGTCTCCACATGTCTGTGTGACCTCCCAATAACGCCTGACCATGCTCCTGACGATTCGGTCGATGGTCTCCTCCCAGACCAAGACTAAAGCATCTGCTGAGTCCTGGACAGTCTGTGGTGCAATGTGACATTGATGGATTGATCAAGACATGATGTCCCAGATGTGTTCAATCAGATGCAGGTCTAGAGAACGGATGGGCCAGTCCATACCTTCAATGCCCTCATCTTGCAGGAACTACGGACATATTCCAGCCACATGAGGTCTGGCATTGTCCTGCATTAGGGGGAACCCAGGGCCAAGCGCAACAGCATAAGGTCTAAGGATCTCATCTCGGTACCTAATGGCAGTACATGAAGGTGCAGCACTCCCAAGAAATGCCACCCCACACCATAACTGACCCACTGCCAAACCAGTCATGTTGAAGAATGTTGCAAGCAGCAGATCGCTCTCCACAGTATTGCCAGACTCTGTCACATCTACCCCATATGTGCTCATTGTTAACCTGCTTTCTTCTGTTTAGAGCACTGGCTGCCAGTGACGAATTTGCAAATCCTGGTGTTCTCTGGCAAATGCCAAGCATCCTTCACAGTGTTAGGCTGTGAGCCAAACCCTCACCTCATCAGGCCCTCATACCATCCTCATGGAGTCAGTTTCTAACCTTTGATGCAGAGACATGCACATTTGTGGCCTGCTGGGGGTCATTTTGCAGGGCTCTGACAGTGCTCCTCCTACTCCTTGCCCAAAGGCAAAGGTTGCCATCCTGCTGCTGGGTCGTTGCCCTCCCATGGCTTCCTCTACTACTGCTGATATACTGGCCTGTCTCCTGTCTGCAGTCTCTAGACTCTCCTCTGGCAGACACAGCAAACCCTCTTGCCATAGCTCGAATTAATGTGCCATCCTGGATGAGCTGCACTACCTGAGCCACTTGTGTGGTTTGTAGAGTCCGTCTCATGGTACCATGAGTGAGAAAGCATCACCATTATTCAAAAGTGACCAAAACATCAGCCAGAAAGCATAGGTACTGAGAAGTATCATGTGGTCCCCACCTGCAGAACAATTCCTTTGTCGAGTGTGTCTTGCTAATTGCCAATAATTTACACCCGTTGCCCATTTCATTTGCACCACAGAATGTGAAATTGATTGTCAATCAGTGTTGCTTCCTAAGTGGACAGTTTGAGTTCACAGAAGTTTGATTTAATTTTAGTTATATTGTGTTGTTTATGTGTTCCCTTAATGTTTTTGAGCAGTGTATAACATTGTGTTGTGGAGCATCTAAAAAGTAAGAGAATAGTTAAAGAAGGAGGTGTTTGTGCTCCCATATTTCATTTATTGTACAGTTTTAGATTAGAAGGCTCAGTTCAGACATTGTTTTATTCTTTCATCAGCACAGCATCACTTGAATTATCTCGTCTGGTAGAACAGAAGGTTAATTGTAAAGTTTCTTCAGAAATTTGTATAATTTGGAACTGAAAGAAGACAATAAAAATACTTTTATTATGTAGAAATCCGACATTTAAATCTTGATAAGCAGATGTTTTGAGATCTGAGGTAGTCCTATAGTAGGGTTAGAGAGGAGGAGTTAATAAGACATAGCCCTTGGTGAACAGGCAATCCAAGTCAAACCCTAACAAGTGAGAATAAGTAGCTCTTTCCATCCCGGTGGCTTGTTAACATCTTGAATGTGGTGTGAGCATCTCCTCACCTGCAACCTCCTGCCACCGATTACCTTCCACTCGAACTCTGCGATGTGTTGCAGTGAGTGCGGGAGGACGAGGGGATAAAAGGAAGAGCGATTTAAAGGGCGCTGGATTTAGGGATCCCGATCTCTACCGTCAAATCCTGAAGGGGAGAAAAAAATGAATCGCTTCTCCACATGCTGTGAAAACAGCAGACATCCTGCTCCTTCATGCTGTGCTGCCATTTGTTAATCATCTAAAGAAATGCCCTACTGCCATCTTTCTTTATATTTGTAAACTGAATAAGGGTTCTATTTTTGCCAGAGGGAGTAAAAAGAAACAATATATTGCTATGGTAGTGTAAAATAATTCAGATATAACCCCAGGCGGTGCTCAGAAACTGTTTATGATCCTGCATCAAGCAGAGGGGTTCTTCATCCACCAAACAAAAAAAAAAAAAAAACAAAAAAAACTGCAATCATTATTAATGATCATTTTTCTGCATCCGATTGTTAGAGTGCAAATTTCAGCACACATGGAGATAAATAATAAAAAAAAGGCTCCAGATCATCATGTCAGAATGCTACACATGTCCTCAGTCACTGTTTGATTCGAATCTCTTAGTAGCTGAAAGCCCCATCAGAAATAGGGCAAAAAAAAAAAGGAGGGTAGTTAGGAAAGAGGCCTGTGAGTCCAGCAGGCGTTGTTGAGACAGGAGACCAAAGAGGACGAAGAGCCACTCATCATCTCTTGTAGTGGTTGGGAGCATCGGCGAAGGCGAACTTTAACCTGTAAGCTTCGGCCAGTAGCACGCTCACTTCCTCGTTTCCCCAATGCATTGTGGGAAGGTTCTGTAACAGGATCATAAGGCCCTGTTGGGGGGACAGAGAATAGATTCTTAGAAGACAGGCGCAATGAAGATGGGCAGCACATCAGCAGGAAAAATAGCTAAAAAGAGGAAACTCTATGTAGAGGACATCATTGAAATGAGGAACTACAAGCAAAGGTAAAGCTGCGGCTGATCAGTACCATTAAATTGTAGGGGGGAAAAAAAGCATAATAATGAGGAGAAATAATGGCATTTTCTCTAGCAGGCAGTTGTGCCACCAGGGGGTGGCCAGGGCATTGCCCAGGGTGGCCACCCCACTTGCCAGTGTAAATTGTAGTAGCATCAGTTTGGGTTTTCATCCCATTATGCACAGCCAGTGACGTATCATGAAAAATCATACAATAAACCAAGGTATGAGTAGGTGTTTACTTAAGTTGTTATAATTTTTACAGGCAGGTTCACCATATTAGTAGATTTAAACCCTGAAATTATGGCTTTTAGTTTCAGTGTGCCACCCCAAGATTTTTAGTGGCCCCATCTGGCCACCCCTATGAAACATTTCTGGAGGCGCCACTGGTAGCAGGACAAAACCCCACCACTTAAAATCTTTGCTGATAAAAGTTTAACATCTGAATAAGTGAAAAAGAAAAGAATCTATTCTTTTGCTTAATCCGGCTGTGAGAGCAAAAAGTCTAGGCAAGAAATCCAGACATGTCTGTCTTAAGACACTCCAGCTCATTCTACAGGACTGTAGAAAGAAACTCCTCCAAAATAAAACATCCTGACCAAATGACTCCTTTAGATGGGGCGGTAGTTCCTTCCTGATAGTAGAGCTAACCACCTTGCAAAGATGTAGCAGGCTGCAGGTCTCCATCTTTCTTCATACCCTGTTTTATGCCCAAAACTGGTGCTAGTATTTCTTTAGCATTAAATCTGGATTCTCCCTAATTCTGGTACCAATTTACTGGTCCGGTATTAGAACCAACTCTGTACTGACATAGAAAAGACCTTCGAGCTCTGGCTTAGTTAAGATTAGCCTAATTTAAGACCAAATCCAGTAAAAAAGGAAATATTTGTGTTTATGTTTATCATACTAATCATTGAGTGCATTCCTATGCCCTGCTGACATCCCCAAAAACTTCTGAACAATTGATCAAACATCATCTGCTTTGATTCTTTGTCAATAAGTAAGCAAGACTGATGCTGAATTCTTAAAAACGTATGAAAATACTTGGTATTTAATTTGCACAAACATCGAGGCAGATATTGCTTTCTTTTCTATTGATCCAGCAAAGATGCACAGATGAGCCATTCCCTCAACAAAGAGCAAAAAAGGAGAGTCTGTGCCGCTGCATCCCTTTTCCTGACCCGGTTCATGGTAGAGTTGTTGAATGGAGCTGATTACAGGCACCATTTGTGAGCAGTTTGAGGAAAAGTCAGAAGGTGAAATGTTTTATTCATTCTCATGCCGTTTACTGCGGTGGAGCTCTGATATCAGGACAGGATTTGATCCAATTAATTTACTTTTTCTTTATCCATTGATATTCTTTTCTCATGTTCTTTCTTTTTTTTTAAAACAAAAAAACTGAAATATGGAAAAAATGTTGACCTATATTCCTATATATTTGCAAATGTTCAAATTTATAATAAAAGAATAGCAACTGGAGGCTATGTACCACATAGAGAAGTTAGATTTTTACCATTTCAGGTGGATTCCACAATAAAAGGTACTTCAAACCACTTTCCAATTGGCCTAAAAAGGTAGGTAAACTAATTTGTTTTAAAACTGCAGAAAACGTTGAAACAAAGCAAAATCCAAATCAGACTTCCTTCTTTAATGAAAATAATTTTAAATAAACCAGGGGTATAAAAAAAACTTTAACTTATAAAAAATGTTTAACTCAGGCTGTAGCAGTTTTATTTACAAAATATACTTGTTGGTATTTCAAAATAAAACCGGACTTTAGTAAAAAAAACAAAAAAAAACAAGATTTTGTCACTTTTTCTGCTTTTTCTTTTTAGATTAACAGATGGTTTTAGCTGCATGAGCAGTCTGCTTGAATAAGATTATTGACTGGCGCTGTTTATTATTTTAACACCACGGTTGTCAATAGTGTTTGTGCTTAGAAATACTACCAGACAGTGGAGGTGTTCTTAGAACAGAGCAAAACAAGAAACGCATCGAGTAACAGGTGGGGGAAGGGCAGCACTGCATTATTCTTTGCTCCACTCGGACTAAAAACTGATCAACCAGTACTTTTTTCTGACAGCTTATAAAAAAAAAACACTTTAAACACTTGGAATGGTTTCACAGAAACTCTTAACCATTTTTGGAACGGGAACCTTTACAAAAAACCTGGTAACCTCGATATCGACGCCATGTGGCTGCCTACTGGAAGCTTTGATATCGCTACTGTTTTAAAGGGAAAACTGGATCGTATACAACGGTGAGATAAATGTTAGTCACAGAAAACTACAGCTGAGCTAAAAATACCTAAAAAAAAGTGTGAATAAAACGGAAGGTGAAATTCAGTGAAGCTAGAGTATTTCCTGAGATTTAAACTCTGTATATTACTTGGCAGGTTAGGAGACAACAATCCACATCGTCTTCAACACACAAACACACACACACAAGTGAGAGTTCAATCTAGCTAGCTAATGCCTCTCTCTCAAAGGGGAATGAGGCTGGTTAGCAGTAAGACAGAGTGAAAATGTGTGTGCAGGCATGCTGAGGATTGGTGTCCCAGAAGCTTTCATCATCAAGCCTGAAATCATTGCCGTGACAACAGGGTTTACAACCAATCACGGTGTTGATAATCACACGAAAAGACAAATCCCGGTGGGGCTTCGGTGTCTGCACTCATCTGACTCCACACAGTTTGCGGCTTTCTGAAAGGATGAGATCCCGTTCCAAACTGTTTTTTTTTTTTTCACCCTGCTGCACATATTCAATAATATTCAAACTCTTTTCTGAGCACGTCAAAGGGTTCCTCACCCACCGCTGAGAACGTCAAACAAATCTTTAAGCAGATAAATTTAGCCTCTTTGCATTAGTCTACCTCTTTTACGTTTTAAACTAAAAGGTGTTGAGCTCCCATTAATTCTTTCCCTCCATGCTCGCTTTTAATGAGCCGGTGAGACGACCCGGTGACACTAAGAGAGAATTTGTATTCTGCTCGAGGGTGAAAAAAGTACACGTCGTCTTCAACTAATTAAACTCAAAACTGCAATCGAAGTCAGATTTCACATGTCAGACATTGTTTCACTCCTCTTCTGAATACATTTAAAAGTAAACCCAACAAGAAAAGCTTTTCAATAAAAACTTTGGTCTATTTTCCTAAACTAAGCAAAGAGAGTAGCTGGTAAGTAGATTATTGACTGATTTGAAGATACCGAAGGCTTTTAAGAGGTGTTAACAGCCTGTTGAAGTGGAGTTAAAATAATCTAGCTGCAAGTAAAAATAAAACAAAGATTCCATCCTGTCATGGTTTTAAATATAAAATTGGAAATCAATTTCCCCAATAGGAGACCCACTACCTTATTGAATTTATGTCATATATGTGCCCATTTAACTATAACAATATTAGCTTTATTTATAAAGCACTTTTAATTAGCTAGATGTGTGGCAAATAGTTGACCAAGATTAGTTGCCATGGCTAAGAGCCAAACAAATTAAGAAATGTTTGCAAAGAAGAAGAAGAAATGTTAGCAAAGTAGAACAAAACAAAACCCAGAATGACTCTTTCTGGGAGAAATTTTGGTTCCAAAAGAGACGTTGAGAGGAAACGTGACTAATTGTCACCATCAGCACAACTAAGATCTGAATGACGAGTTTTAAAATGCTAACGCTAGCAACACGAAAGTGGAAAAAGGACAACTACAGGCTCTTACATATGTGAACAAACTTTCTTTGGATGCGTTTTCCTTCATCGTCCAGCAAATTACCTTTCTTATCACATATTTCTACATTTCCCACAGTTACACTGGGATTAAGAATAGTAAACATGACCACTAGCTGGTTGCTGCTGTGTTAACTTTTCTCTAAACAGCTTTATTTTGCTAGCACTGAAAAAAATAAGAATATTATGATGGGAGATTTAATGAATTTTGAAACTTGGTATTAGTAACCAACCTGTGCCTGTACAGCAACCACAGGGTATAGATAATCGTCTTGTTTATTTATTTTCTATTTATAAATTCTATAACATACCTCCCCCCCAAAATAAACAACAAAAAAAAAAATTTATTTTAATATTTTATTGAAACTATAAGATTGTATAATGCCTTAATTGTTTTTGAGCTGAACCGTGAAACAACAAAAATAGTTTTCATCTTCTGCAGTTTTAAATTTTACGATTTCTACATTATTGGATGCCAGTATCCAATACAATAGATGGGTTCTTGATAATAAAAGGGTTTACACTTGGTACCTTTATTCCAACTATAAAGAATAACATAATAAAAAGAAAATGTAAACCCAAAATAGTAGCCTTAGTCATTTGTTTGGGATTTTAACCAGACTTCCTTTAGGGACCATAGTTCTAGTACAGCATGCCCTGAAAATTTGAAAGAGTCCAAAAGAATGAGGCACGAGTTTGAAATGATAACGAAATGTTTTTGTAAAGCTATATAAAGGTTTAAAATTGTGTAAAATGTCATATAAATGTGTGATGTAACAAAAGTAAAGAGCGCCTCTGAATTCTAGAACGTTAAATTGCATTTAATCGTACACTTTTTGATTTATGTCATTCAGAAGATAAAAAAAAAAGATTAAACAATCTTCCTATTTTAAATTCGTTTTTCTTTCCATAATCATCAGGATCCCTGCCTAATAGTAAGTTCTTATAATAGAAGATGCTTTGATTTTAAAAGATTAAACAGGTGAGGTCCCTCTTGGTTTATAAAGCCAAGGCCCACTAAAGACTTTTTGCTCTAGAGGGGAAAGAGGACTGAAATCCTGCCTGATCAGAATTCTGCCTCCCTTCCTCTCATCTGTATTCAATGGAGAACTGCCATCAGCTCTTTTGCTTTCATCCCTCGCCC